TCACTGTCACGAGTTGATCACGCTCTACGTCCAATTTTAATGTTCTGATTGGTCAAAATTTGACAGGTGAGTTTATGCGGAAAATTTTTGCAGCGTCTGGAAACTTGCTTACTGATAGCTGGAGCTGAGAAAGTTTTGTGTCACCTTGTGATGTTTAAAACTATCTTTTTCTACTTGGTGTACAAAATGAAATACAGCTGCTATCAAGATTGTTCTGTAATTCGTGGCTGGTTTGTTTGTTGCGCTTTTTGTTGACAAATGTACCGCTTGTCAAAGTCATTGGAAATCCGATTTCGGATGGCATCGTTTTCAAAAATGAGCTTACTCACTTGCCCTTGCTTGAGGCGTAAGAAGGTTGAAAAGTCTCAAGCGATTCTGGAACACTTGATGACCTTCAGAAGCAGCATCTCGACTGGTAAGCTTGAGCCATTATTGTTTTTGATGTTTTTTTTTTTCGGTTTCCTGAAGTCGAGCGTATGGTTTATGCGGCTTAAGTTAAAACACGAGCAATGATCTAACCTACAATAGTATCAGGTTTAAAAAGCCTTTAGACATTTTTTGACCCGCAAATTCAAAGAAAAGGTTCCGAAGATTATTTAGTTATGATTTTGGCTGTAAACAGAAAGCTCTGAGCGATTTTCTTGCCTCGAGTTCATCTTGAAAAAGAGCAAACACCGGGAAGCCGGCTTAACACATAAATAAGCTTGTGCTTGCCTGACTCATAATTTTCTGAGACACTTTCCTCTCAATACTTCTCTTCGTGAATGAAAATTATTGTCTCTGTACATGTTTCACCGAATTAAACTTATTTTATTGATTTTTAGTAGTCCCTCTCGCAATTTTCATCGCTACACCGGTTGTTTCCAGTCGAACATAAACATCGCATGTAGGAATACTCAAAACGCCGCGCGTAAATACCACTCGCTTTTAAAGATTACACAACAAAATCATACACAGTTTAATGAATAAAGGGAAATAAAACCTAAACATAACAATTTCTCTATCATGTTGAAGCGTAAATGGTAACTCTATTAATCGCACTGCAAATTTGGTGCCTGTTAAAAGTGAGAACCCCTTCCGGCTGGCCGAAAAGTAATTTTGGGAATTTTTTTATCGTTTTCATTAAAAGCCCATAATTATTACCCCGCATATCACATAGGACCAGATTTTTCTAACAGAAAACGTTTTATAATTCAATGCTATAATTTGTTGTGCAAAGGAAGCGCGTGCTTTGATCATCGTGGATATTGAATGAGTGCAAATTCTCTTGCAAAATTGTGAAAAACTGCAGAATTATAAGTTTAAATAGGGCAAAAAAGAACAGGTTCTGTCCGAGGTCTGTGTACTGTTTACCTGAGACGTGATGAGAAAAAGTATGTTTAAAAGGCTGGTTTACACGCCACCAGATTCGTCGCCAAGATTTAGTAGTAAACTAAACTTGTCGAACACAAAAAATCCGGCCTGATTTTTATTTTGGCCTTTCTTTTACACAGAGGAATGCAACGTGTAAATTGGCTGCCATCAAGGACTATCGTGGCGCATGTGTTTCTTAAAAATATATTTGGCGGTTGTCCAATTATCCATAGTCTCTCTAACGGAGCAATGTTGGAGAGACTGGTGAATGCCACATTATGATGCTACAGCTAATGCAAATACAATACACGAATAGGTCTATTTGTTTTCCAGGCCTAATCTACTGTGATCGAACATGATTGCTATTTTTCGGTGTACAAATAACTTGATGTAAAATTTGTTTCACTCTTGGACGGTCGAATTCTGATTTTTCTCTAAAATCACTCAGCCTTTGCCTCAAAAGTCAAATGAATGTGCCCTGATCTGTGGATTACAAGTTTATTGTTTGATTTAAATTATGAATTTATTAACGGGAGCTTCGCTTTTAGCCCTGGCTAAATCTATATATTATTTTGTTATATGCCTTTATTTCATTGGACCACTGATGGCAGTGCACACACCCAGAACTGAATTGCTTATGAATCATTTTGGGCTGCATGCAAAACGCAATTTTTTAATTGTTTAAAGATGATAGAGCAAGTACTCTTTCCAATCCACGTTTTCTTCCACTTAATTAATGCTTAAGTCATGCTTAGATAATTCGGAGGCTTTCTTTTAATTTTTATTTTAACAGTAAGAATTGGGCCGTGAAAGGAAAGGCTATGTGGCCGACTTGTTACAAATGTTTTGCAAGAAGATATTCTCATCCTAACTGTCCTTGCTTGGCTTCCAGTCGTGTTGCATTTAGACAAAGATAAACAAGGGGCTCTGGGGTTATTTATAACTGATGAACAGTTAACAAAGAAGCAGCTTTCGTACAATTTTTCTTGGTAAATAATTAGGTTATCTGATCACTACAGTCATAGGGTAGCACAATGTTCTCAACCTTTTTGGTTTAAGAATTCTAAAATACAAGAAAACTTGACTGTTTATGCTAGGCATACATTATGTCAGCGACAACTGAGGTGTTAATAAATAAAATGGTAAATGAACAACAGCCTAGAGTAGTCTATTTTGCATCATACTGGGATAAGTGGTTGTTGATGATAACAACTGGATTTTGCAGTATGTCACCTTTGATAGGGTGGATAACATTATAGCTTGATCAACAGTAATATCATAGTTTGCTTGCCAATCCTAACCACACCTGCTTTCCACCCCTCCTCGAGCTTGCACACAGCAATGGCTTACTGAAGCATAGGGCATCTTAGTTTACTTGTTATTGACAAATAATGATGAGCCAAATTGAAACTTGCTTCTGCTGGTCAATGATTCAGTTCTGTTTAAACCTTTTTCCTAGTTGGAGGCCTCATGTTATAACACAAAATAATGAATTTTAGGGGAACTAAAAAATTGTATATTATCAAAACCTGTGAGCAGATATTGTACTTTAACTCTATAAAGCACCACATTCAGTTTCAATACAACTGCAGAGGGTGGGGATTGGGGGTGGGGCACTACCCTCGAAAAATCATTTCAGATTCACCCCACGGTATGATTCTTGCCTTGCCAAATTCAAGTCAACTCCAGTCTCAAAACATGATGAGAGCAGCTACCCAAGAAAATGCTTTTGGGTTGTGTGTTACTCAAAGCCGTTACTTCTTAATGGGGGGATCTCTTAAAGCATACAGTCTATATACAGTGTATATATCACTCTACCTTTTGACTGTTCCAGATAAGAAAGTACAGCTATATAGCTTATGATAACCCATTCTAGGTTTTCAGATAGTGAGAAGTAGAGCATTAAAAAAGCAGGGTTTTTTTAGTTTTGTTCTCTTTGCACCTTCCCCAATACTTGAATGTCTGGCACAGGCATAAACTACTGCTTTTAAGCCTTCCCCCCAACTTATAACCCCCTCAATTATAGGCCCTGATTTACCAGTGAACAAGAAAAAATGTCCCCCTGCCCTCCCCTAAGAAAAAAAAAAGCGTTCAAACCCCTTACAAAGATGTGTAACCCATGAGCTCATAAGTGATACTTAAACAGGTTTCTCTCTGGATGCATTTACATGATTACCATCACTTCCTACTAAACTAGTGTCCGGTAGTAACCGGTAATCAAAAGTACATATAACTGTTTATACCCCTACAACAGAGGTGACAAGAGCTCACCTATACTGTGAAAGTTACAAAACCATGAATACCAAAAATTATTTAGGAATGCTATTGTGTTGCAAAGAAAAAGCTAATAAGGGGTGAGAAAACAAAACCTCAAACAGCAATGGTAATTACTTTGTGGTTTTGAGGTTTGGTCGTGCATGTGTACTGAACATTATGGTGATTGGTCACTACACAATCAACATTTTTCAGGTATTAATGATTTTCTCAGTCTTACAGCAAAATTATTGAAAACTCTCTCTTTGAGGTATTGTCTGATGATGATTTTTAGCTAAGAGATGATACCTGAAATCTTGAGGGAGGATAAACCCTTTTAGCAGAACACTGAATGGCCCTCATAAACACCAAATGACCCAGAAGTTTTATGATTAGGGTTAGGAAACTGGGGTTCAAGTTCTGAACTGGAATTTGATTCACTCAGTACTGTATAAAGTTGCCATGTATGGAAGCCCATGGAACCAGTGTCTTTTACCCTGGGTCGGTAAAATGATTAATATTGATTTGTTTCGACGTAAATCGTTCGGTTGTCTAACACGTGTTGTACACAAAAGCTCATGGGCAAAATTAAAACCACGACATGCGACACCACAGAAGGAAATGAACATAGGAAAACACACAACCAGCTCGAGTGAAATGAAATATATATTTTACTCTCCTAACACAACACATGAATGGTTTCAAAGCGTTGTGAAGTAAGATAGCAGTTGCAGGACATGGAACAAGATACCTTTTTAGATTGACTTTTTCCCGCATTATATCGATCTTTGCGATATTGCTTTCCCAGTGTTTGTTCGCCAAACGGATTGAAAAAAAGACTCACAAAACTCAGACGATAGTCTGCCGATTAATTGTCTCAGTTCTGCAAACCAACAGTGTGTTCAGCCGGCTTCTGTTACTGTCTTCTTCAAATTCTCCAAATTATCAGTGAATCCAAGTTAAGTGAAGTGGTGCATTTTCAAAACATCCCAAAGAAGCCACTCTCTGGAGAGAGCTGAGGAAGTAAAATTTTTCCCCCAGTGGAGCGGTGAGGGACAAAAATACGTTATGAGCATGAGCAGTGATATTTGTAACTTCTGCACATGTGCGACCGGATGTCAGAAATTTTCTGACATCCGGTAACGGCTGCGTCCAGAGCCCCTCGTTTCCCTACCACGTGACCAAGAAACGACGGGCTCTGGGGACGAGAATGTGCAGGCACGAAGTAAAATGTTATGCGCAGTAGATTATATTTTTAATTTTCTTTGCGCATTCAATTGCCTTCAGCCAATGAAAAAATTCGTATTTTCCTTTGCGCCCAGAGCCACTGGTCGGTTACAAATTAAGCCGAGTGGTTCTGGGGACGAGAATGGTTCGGGAAACATAAGGAAAACAAAAGATGAATTTGGACAGTGTTCTTGAAGATGTTCTTCGAAGTAGAGGTCAAGGAAATCTTATACTGAAGCCTAGACAAAAAGAAGCACTACAGTCGATTGTTTTTAAAGGTCAGGATTGTTTAATTGCTCTTCCAACTGGCTACGGAAAGTCGTTGATCTACCAAATGCTACCATCACTGTTTGATAAAATTAGTGCGAGGAACCTTTCATCGAAGGACAAGTCAATTGTCATTGTTGTTTCTCCTTTGAATGCCTTAATTGATGACCAAATAAATAAACTTAAATCAGCTGGTGTCAATTGTACAAGTTTGCGTGTTTGTGGTGACGAGGTCGATGGCGCATTTGAACAGAAAATTCTTGAAGACCTTCAAGATGGAAAGTTTGAATTAATTTTTACACACCCCGAGGTATTAGTAAGCAACAGGCAATGTAGAGACCTTTTTTTGTCGGCTTACTACCAGAGAAATGTTAGGGCTGTGGTGGTTGATGAAGCACATTGCATCATTGAGTGGTAAATTATGATTCTCATTACTTTTTGTTGTTGTTTTTCTCTGTTTGATCATTTTGTTAATACTTTTAAGGTTATAAGCTTCCTTTATGTTAGGGCTAAAAATGGCCCCTACACCTATTGTTAAGTTCCTGTTTTCTAGACTCAAATTTTTGAGTGACGTAGCAGCTATCGTAAGGTCTCCTCTGATTGGCTAACAGCTTATTCCTTTGTTTTATTAATTTTTATATGTCCCTTAATAATTTTTTAACCTGAGATTATGTTTGATAGTTGATTGTAATTAAACTAGAAGGTTAGTTTAAATTTCATACTAGAGATTGTCATTCTAAGACTTAAATGGAAAGCAAGCATTGCGTATAGAGACCTTGACACATAGAGAGACGTATTTAACGTATTTATAAGATAGCCTGCCTAGCAGGCGTCCAAAACTGAGAAGAGGATGGCATAAGGAGAAAGGGGGAAAAGAGAGCCTTTCTTCCTACTCTCTCACTCTCCTCTTTTTTCGCCTGTCACGGAGACCAGCATTCTACAGGATTTCAAGTTGCGAGGGTTCCAAGCATTGTAAGGGTTTCGCGCGTTGCAAGTGTTTCAAGCGTTGCGAGGGTTTCAGGCGTTTCAAGTGTTGCAGGTGTTTCAAGCGTTACAAGGGTTTCAAGCGTTGCGAGGGTTTCAAGCATTGCAAGGGTTTCAAACATTGCAAGGGTTTCAAGTGTTGTAAGGGTTTCAAGCGTTGCAAGGGTTTCCAGTGTTGCAAGGGTTTCAAGTGTTGCGAGGGTTCCAGGTGTTGTAAGGGTTTCAAGCGTTGCGAGGGTCTCAAGCGTTGCAAGGGTTCCAAGTGTTACAAAGGTTTCAAGCGTTGCGAGGGTTTCAAGTGCTGCAAGGGTTTAGAGTGTTGCAAGGGTTTCAAGCATTGCAAGGGTTCCAAGTGTTGTAAGGGTTTCAAGCGTTGCGAAGGTTTCAAGTGTTGCAAGGGTTTCAAGCGTTCCAAGGGTTCCAAGTGTTGTAAGGGTTTCAAGCATTGCGAGGGTTTCAAGTGTTGCAAGAGTTTCAAGCATTGCAAGGGTTCCAAGTGTTGTAAGGGTTTTAAGCGTTGCGAGGGTTTCAAGTGTTGCAAGAGTTTCAAGTGTTGCAAGGGTTTCAAGCTTTGCAAGGGTTTCAAGCATTGCAAGGGTTTCAAGCATTGCAAGGGTTTCAGGCATTGCAAGGGTTTCAAGTGTTGCAAGGGTTGTAAGCGTTGCAAGGGTTTCAGGTGTTGCAAGCGGTTTCAAGCAATGTAAGGGTTTCAAGTGTTGCGATGAGCTTGAAAATCACATTAACAGAGAAAAAGGAGAGGTATAGAAAGAAAAAATGAGGGATAATGGCTACTTTGGAGCCGAAAATACCTTTTTGTCAATTTGGCGGTATTGGCATAATTTTTCAAAGTTTTTAACTAACAAATGACATTTACTGCATTAATATTGTTAGTATTTTTTATCTCAATTTCCAATTTTTTTTTATTTACCTACTGCAGTGTTTATTTATTTATTTGGCCATCTGTAAGCTCAATTCAATTCTTTTTTTTGCTTAAATTCATTTACTTTTTAAATTATTTTGTTACTTATTTACTGTTATTTTCTCTTCTTTCTTTTTTTTGAACTTTAACAATATGTATTTATTCATTAGTTTATTTTAATATCTTGCAGTGATGGATATCCGCCTTTGTAGGACTTAAAATTTATGTAGATGTAGATGTAGATGTAGGTACATGTAACATTTTCAAATTAAATCTGCCAAGATATGCAAAATGAACCCGACAGCACAGCGTCGAAAAAGTAATCAAAATATGCCAGAGTAAATTCTAGTCAAATATCTGTCGACATCTAAAGTGGCTAATTTAAATCGTAGTCTCTCGACTAAAATAAGGTGAGAACGCCATTTTTGTGTGTGACCGACGCACAGGGTTATTTACGGAGTATTTTCTGACCCGTTAAGAATCTGTGAGGATGCGTATTCGTTAAACAACTAGTGATATGTTTAGGACAGTAGCTTGTTTCCAAACATATTTGTTTTACCACTTATGTTTACTGAAGACTCGAGTCAATACGCATCCAATTTAGGGGGTTTTGACTTGCATGTATGTATACTGTAGACAAGGATGGTTAGAGTATAAGAAAAAATCATTCAGTTAAATGATATAAAGGTCGACCGTACACGGTTTATTCAGACATCCAAGTTAACTGGAAATACGTGTATCGCAGAACCTTGCGAACCTAGGCGGGGGTGGGAAGGGGGGGAGGAGGAGACGCCCATAAAATGTCAGGGATGGAGGGGGGAGAGAATTGGAGTAAATTGTGTAGCTTTGGAGGGCGAGTTTCAGTACTGGCTCTAATATTGGAAGGCGAGATGTAGTTAATCCTGTTTGACCCTCCTACATGTGTAATTATGGTCAAAAGGAAATGGGTGTGATGGTGGACAACTGGAGGCAAATAAATGCAGCTAACCCATGCCATCTTTAATAATAAGTGAAATAATATTTTTTTTAAAATTGAAGTTTATTGATAAGCACAATACAATATACAATATTAATAAACAAAGAACGACGTTACAAAACTAAAACTATACAGGATGTTGCAATTATTAATTACAAAAAGAAAATGAAATAGATCGGTAAAATTAAAAAATAACCAAATAACAGAAATAACTAAACAAGTCAAGCTTGTTTGCAGCTAAAGGCTCAGGGATTCACGGACACTTGAAGGCTCTATAGGTAATTTGTATTTTAGAAACGCTTCAAACTGCATGGTTCGCTTTCTTTGGCTGTGGTGTAGATATGAAAATGAGGGACAATCAGGCAAAGATTAAACGCAGGGAAGGATCGATTCTCAGGGAGATATCCGTAAGTAATAGACCTATTCGGCTAACTCAATGTTGTACCCAATTCAAACCCCTTAGGAATAAAACGTTTTGTTTCAGGAATTTCCATATCATTTAAATGTGAATGCCACATTATAATGCAAATACAACACACAAAGAATCTTATCCCCGGGAGATTTGAATTGGGTACAACATTGAGTTAGCCGAATAGTTCTATAATAACTACTTGTGAAGTCGTTAGTAGTGAGCGGATGAAATGGTAGGGGATAATGCTGCAGTAAAAATAACAAGTAAATGCTGGTAATTGGAGAAGAAAATATTTATTGTTTAAGCGAACTATATGACAGTGTTTGCATTTGTTGTAGTATATAATCACACTTGACAACTACATTGTACATGCATGAGAAACAAATACCCGTGCAAGAGGGAAAAGTCTACATACAACTGTTACAAGTCATGTTGAAGGTGATCAGTTTCTCAATTCTCAACATGCATGAGGTTGTCGAGACATGGTTGCCAGAGGCATAATTTTTGAAATTCCCAGACTGACAGTCAAATGCACACTTTCCTTGACCAAATGAATTCACAATTTGTCCAGATATTTATGGAGTCCAATTTCCAGTCAAAACTTTCGTGTACTGGACAAAGATGACGTAAAACAAAAGACTTCTTTGTTTTCTGTTCCGGGGAAATCGTCATGGTTTTTGTTCTTTTGCTTTCCGTCATCTGTGTCCACTAGACAATTTGAATAAGTGCCCAAACTCCCATCACAGCCATCCTCTCCACCCATTTATTACATGAATTTGTCGGGAATGTAAAGTGCAGAAAGGATTGATCTTATAGGAGACCCTATATCTGCTTGTCGTTTAATTTCTTAAAACAATATTCTGCCAGTGAAACACATTTAACTTTGGTGAACATCCTCTTACTTCTTTGAAAGGAGAGTTAAATTTTCCCTGACTTATACCACAGGTGACACAATGTTCAAAATATAAGGATTTGTAAGGGAGAAAAACAATTTTTTCTGTAGCCAACGACGTAAAAGGATTAAATAAAAATCGGCTAACCTTGCTTAAAACCGGTGTGTTTCTTCTTTCCTGTGTGATTTCCGAGCCAATTTATGGCCATTTTTAAATGGGTGTTATTGGAACCAGTTTGCTCTAGATCGATTGATTCATTTCAAACCCTTTAGGTTCCACGCTGTACCTCTGTTCAAGTTGTCTTATGTTCTTCCTCTTAATTTTCTTTATTTTAAAACAATCTGCCTTATTATGCACGATGTATCCAATAATGTAACACCTCCAAACGTTTCCAGCTTATTTACCTATTCTTCAAAAGTACATCATCATAATACACGATTTTCTGCGGCTGGCAATTTCTATATTAAGCACTCGAGAACTAACCATATGAAGAACTCCTTTTCAAGAATTGGTGTAAAAATATCGAATAGTATTCCCGACACTGATCGTGCTCTACCTAGATATAAATTTAAGAATACCCTACACAGTAGGCTACTGGATATTTTGATACTTATGTTGGCGTGCGTACTTTAATTGACATATTTAGTAGATATGAATTTCACTCATACCTTGTTTCATTTACCTATTTTTGAGTATACAGGTGTATGTATTTACTGTTTAGTGGATTCAATATGTCGATGTTCGTGTATCTGTGTAACTTTATTGTTATGTTTCAACCCTGTTATTGTAACTTTTTGATTTTTCCTTCCCGCCTCGATTAGCTATAGGCTACTTTGCGGGCATGGATTAATTATGGTTTGTATCAGAAGGGTTTTTAAATAAACTTGAACTTGACCTTCTAGATCTCTCTATAATAGATTCCCGCTTGACGAGATTATTAAGTCTCTTCACTCGGAATTATCGTTGTTAACTAATGCATCGGTTTGATAATCAGTGAACCTGCCACTCAGACAAGTGGCCAATAATGCCAACACTCGAGTGGTTTTCTGTCTGTTGTATTGTATCAGAACAATAGCGTGACTTCAATGAGAGCTCCCGAAGTTACTTTTAGGGTATCGGCATGAATACATCGATGGCAACAGAATCGAAAGGGTCACAGTTTATAAAGCTGCTTGGAGTTTATGTTAGCAGTGATCTGAATTGGACACATCACTAACCCATCATGTAGACTATACATAATTAAAAAGGGAAATAAGAGGCATGAGTCTCTCAGAGTTCTCAAGCAGTTTGATGATCCACCAGCTGAAACCCTCGCAATGCTTGAAACCCTTGCAACACTTGCAACCCTTGCAACTCTCGCAACGCTTGAAACCCTGGCAACGCTTGAAATCCTCGCAACGCTTGAAACCCTTGCAACGTTTGAAATCCTCGCAACGCTTGAAACCAGTACTCCCTCCACACGCGCGAAAATTATGAACGAGGCGGAACGAACGTGACACCATATGAACAATATTATTGGTTTGAAACCCTCGCAACCCTTCACACTCTGTGAGCCAATCACAGTAGACCTTAGGATAGCTGCTACAGTACTGAAATTTTTGGGTTACATGATCACTTTTGTCACCTCACACCTGAAAGGATTTAACATAAAGTTAGTTTTGTAGTCAGTCAACCTTAGTTGCTGCTTTATGGAGATTTCACAACGTTTATGAATTCAATGTTCTCACACCGGGATCGAGACTCCAAAATTTGAACTATACAATGAAACTCAAAGTTTACCACGTGTATTTACTTTGCAACGACACAATGAGCTGTTTCCATTCTTATCATTGCGGTAATGATATTTATTACCTTATGCAATGTACATGCTAGATCAACTAAATGAAAAGGTTTTATTATGTCCAAAAGCAGCTATCTTACTATTTCAATTGCTTCTGATGGGTGCCTTGATCAGATCACCAAAAAACTAATAGTCATAGACCTGTTATGTTTGTAGACTTTGTTTTCTCAATGTGTAAAATTTTGATGTTCTCAAGAGGTATCATATGATATGTTTTCTCAAATTTAATGCCCATCTTTAAAATTTGAAAGAAACAGTTCTGTTCTCCAAGTATGATCAAATGACTTATATTAAGGCAACAAAGCACACAAGCAAAAGAAGTCTTTCCATGGTACAAATGACTGTTTGGGTTCATTTAAGTAGCAACTCGATACTTATCTTCACCATTTGTTTTCCAGTGCATATATCTGTGGCCAGTTCAAATTGAATGTCATTCATTTTTAGTGCAACGGTGTGTCCTCCTTTCACACTAGTATGAATCTCTAACTTCCCTAAGTATTCCATCACCACATTGTTTAACAGCGACAGTGAATGTTTGAAACACAGTATAATCTGACCGTAAATTAATGACCCAGTCCATCACAGAAAGCTGGTGGGAAATTAAAGTAAAAATTATGTTCAAAACAATAGGACTGGGAATTCTAAAATAATTTGTTGTCCAAAACTTTAAAAAATGTCACTCTTAGAGATGCTAAATTCCTGGATGGTGCCATTTTGCTGACCTTGAGCAGCTTGCATTAATATTTGCATGAATGTTATGTGATAAATATTATTTTATTAATGTTAAGCAGGTTAAACAATTTATTTTCAGTTACATCACATAATAATAACAGAAAAGTGAACCTTGAACCTTTAAGCCCCAATAATGACCTCCAATCAAGCAGAGGCCAAGAGATTACCAGTGGCTAAGCTTCTTGATTTTTCAGCAACCTCTGTATAGTGCTACTAGGAAAAATGTACACCTAAGAGCAGTTAAGGGAAATTTCATCACTGGGGCTTAAAAGGTGAAAAGCTAATATAACTACATGGCCATATTGTTACTAATAACAAAGTTATTGCAGCCTTTTTCTTCTTAATTCGACCCTACTATAACGGCTTAGTTACTTGAAAGTCCCCTTTCATGTAGTCATTATCCGTAATTCTTGTGGCCAAATTCTCTTATTCTAGTGGCAAGTATAACAGCATTTCAGAGTATCACTACGGCATTTTTACTTTGTGTTTCATTTTTTAGGGGGCACAACTTCAGAGAAGACTACAGAAAACTAGGAACACTTTCCTTGGTTTTCCCCACGGCTAAGATTGTTGCCATGACAGCAACAGCAACAAAGGAATATCAAACAAGCATTATGAAAAGTCTGAACATGAAAGATCCCAAACTTGTAATTACAAATCCTGACAGACCTAACATTTTTTATGAAGTACAGCAAAGGCCATCTTATCTTAAACAAAGTAACATTGACCAGTTTGAAGAAATTCTTTCACCCATAGCAGATGAACTCATTATTGCCAATATTAAAATGCCTGTCACTATTATTTACTCATCTTTAGAAATGTGTGGAGTTGGGTATGCCTTTTTGGAGAGAAAGCTTGGGGATCACCAGTTCTACCCTATTGGGGCTCCCCAAATTCCTCAAAACAGGCTTTTTGCTCAATTTCACTCGCCACAGACAGACAAAATGAAAGATAAACTTATTAGCAGCATTGTTTCAGAGTCATGCAAACAGAGAATAATATTTGCTACAGTGGCATTTGGCATGGGGGTCGACTCTCCTTGTGTTGAAAGGATAATTCATTTTAGTGTGCCCCAAACTATGGAGAGTTTTTTTCAAGGAAGTGGGAGAGCTGGAAGAGATGGGAGGCCTGCCACATCAACTCTTTACTTCAACAACAATGATATTGGTGCAAATGTTGAAGGAATGCAACCTGTTATGAGAGATTACTGTAAAAACCCTCAAAATGTCTGCAGAAGAAAAATTGGGCATAGCCACTTTGGCTTTGGCATTCCAAGTGCTCGAGACAAACACAGCTGCTGTAACATATGTCGAACTGACTGTGAGTGCTCTGAATGTGTTGAGCTACATCAAGATGTTTTGGCCCTTGAAAACATTCACATCTCTGATAATGAATTTCTTCTTTCTGGAAATCAGGTGAAAGATATAAAATCAGAGCTTATAAAATACAAAGAAGAAATTGAGGCCAGCGATAACTATTTGAATTTAAGTATGTGTTCAGGATTAACAATGACAGTAATTGATGATGTTTGTTCAACACTTAGAACTCTGTTCTCTTGACAGAATTATGGAAAAACTACCGGTTTGGAGAAAAGAACATGCAGAAAAGATTGTACAGATTATAAGTAATGTCACATCCAAATAGGCTTAAAATCTTCCGTAACAAAACCTGCAAAGCATTCTAGGTTTCTAAAACTATAAATTGAACTGAACTGAATTCCATTTTAAAGTTCCTCTTTTTTAACGCAGTAGATAAGGAAAAAATTCTACTTTTGTTATGACATGTGTACTTTACTTAGTCATCTACATCAGACGATTCAGATTCTTCATTTTCAGGAACTACAGATTGACCTCTTGAAGCTGTCTCTTGTGATTTTCAAGCCAACGCAAGAATTCACCCAAGTCAATCATCTCTCTTACAGTACTCTTCAGCATAACAGGGAATGAAGGATGAGGCTCATGCATTGGGTCGCATTTGAATGGCCTTAGCAACCTCAGATCCCCCAGCATAATGCCTTCATCTCTATCAGCACTTTTTTTAGTGTGAGCAGTTGACGGTGGCTTGACATTTGGACTCTCATCATAGGCATGCAAAGATTCACTGACTCGAGTGACTGCCATTAAGCTACGAAACACAGCCTTCTCAGTTTTATTTGCCCTCATTGAAGTTATCAGATTTTTTGTGCTCTTGATGGTATGCTCCATTTCTAAATCATTTGGCATATTGACTCCAATAATTTTCCCTTTCTTATTGGTCCCTCTTCCCCAAATAACAGGTTCGAACACCTGGTGGGTCAGCATGCACTTTACTGAAGTTGGGTGGTACATTCCTTCAATTGCATACTTTGACAATTTGTTATTGGCTTTGAAAACCCACAAAAGGTATTTCCATTTAACAACGTTTCTATCTCCATCACCTTCATGAATTGTGTCATTCAGTTGCATAAGAACTATGAACAGTTCAATCAAAGAGAGACCATAATTCTGGACTTTGTCATCGACTGTCACACCCAAGTGGAAAACATGGTAGTCAACAAACAGATGTCTACCACATCTGCATATTTTTTTTTCATCTTTGAATTGAATTGGCAGTGGAAACACTTCTGACTTCGAGCTCATTTCATTGGTGTACCTGTGCAGAATGTGCTGTAGTACCAGCTTCTTAACTGCTGCAAATTGAGGTTGTTTGAAGAATTCCAAAAAGATTCTCCCCACAAGAACTTTGAAATATGACTGAAGTTTCTTGATTTCCTCTGAGGTAAGGAGGTAATTCTCATTAGAAAAATTCTGAATGTCACCAAGTGGCCTTACATTGTCCAAGTGGCTGAAATCAATCCTCTCAAAAACAACAATGCTTGCAAACCAGTTGTGCTGCTTGTTCCTGTGATCTACCCTCATGTTCTTCACTGTTGTTTTGCAGTTAAAACTGTCATTAACAGTGTAGCATTTCTTTCCAGCTTTGATCAGTTCAACAATTTTGTCATGAAAGTGTCCTCCCATGAGATCCAGTAGATTGATCATAGGTGTGTGACAAGCACACCCCTTGCTTTTCTTAAACGTCCATACGTCTGAAATAATAATAATAAAAAACAATTTAAAATGATAGTCATCATCAAATTAAAGAAAATCCTAAAAGAACCCCGGGGGAGGTACATCCATACACGAGGCTAATGGGGATGTGCTGCTGGATGGGGTCGCATTTTCACGGCTGGATTGACTATAATGGGCTCGCATTTTCAATAGATTTACTAGAATGGGGTCACACATTTTCTGCTTATCTGTACAAAGAGCACTAATGTATGTGTAACATTGTGGTCTGTGTTTTTTCAATGAGTTTATTATGACACAGACCCAAAAGATCATAGTGCCTGGTGCAAAAATTAAGAAGGTGCATCTCTAACTGCCATTCACATCTATAGCATATCAAATTATAGAATTCACATGCAATGAGCAGGGAACTTCTCAAAAATTGTACCATTTTTACTTCTGTACGTAATTGCCAGTATGCATACATTTTCTTTTTATCGCAAGAAAGAAAGGAAAGAAGAATAACTACAAAAATAGCTTACAGTAAGGGACTGATGATTATTTAGAGGTAGCCACGGCTGCTGCAAATAGACCTATTCAGCTAACTCAAGGTTGTACCCAATTCAAACCCTTTGGGGATAAAACGTTTTGTTTCAGGAATTTCCATATCATTTAAATGTGAATGCCAAATTATAAAGCAAATACAATACACAAAGAATCTTATCTGCGGGAGATTTGAATTGGGTACAACATTGAGTTAGCCGAATAGGTCTATAGGGAAAGGGTCCATGATTTGGGGAAAAAGGGGGGAGGCAGACAAATCTATGCATGTATCTAAGCAACATCAGAGCCATGGAGGGAACAAAGGGTGGTTGGTTTGTTGTCACCATAATCTTTTACAAACAGAGTTACCAGCACACGAGAACTTGATTTAAAGCATTTTAATTACCTTTGGGTTATTGAGTCCTGCTTTCTCTAAAGAAAAAGCTTGCACCGGTTGGGGGATTTTGGTGGGCTGGATGGTCTGTACAAATAAAAATCAAAAGCAATAAATTAGCTGCATATTTTTGGCAATCTTTTCAAACTGATTTATTTCTGTACCTTTGGGTTCTTAATGCCTGCCATCTGTGAAAGAATTAACAGTTGAAACTAGTTGGATTTTGGTTGGATGGAACAGACTGCAAAGTACATAAACGCAATTTAGTTGATGAGTAACTAGAAATCCTGAGCAGCCCATCTTATGCCTATGTAGCTTATCTATATTAAACGTGATATTCCAATACGATTTTTACCTTCGGGTTATTACCCGGTTCTTTATGACACACAGGCCTTGTAACTAGCTGGCGTTGGAATTCTGGAAATTTTCACATGCGAATCTGAGGCCACATTCATACTCTGAAATCACAAGACATTCAATTTGTAAGGAATTGAGACCGTGTTAAAGTTAGGCACCAGTAGTATAAGTTAAAACCGGTAGTAAATACTCTCAGGCCTAGGTTGACTTACCTGATTTCCTTGTAGTACATGTATGGCAGAAGCAGAACATCTTGTATTGCTTGTGCTCACTTCCTGATCACTCGTTTGCTGGTTACCGAAAGGTAAACGTTTTCGCGCTGAATTCACCATTGAGTGCGGTATTTTTCTTGGCTTTTCGGTGCTTTGGGAAGTATTTCCCGTCCGAGACCGTTTCTTGATGTTTTCTTGTCTACTTGTTATCAGTTCGCGTTCAAGTTCCTTCTGTGTACTCTGGCAGGTCGAGGCAAATATTTCTAAGTTCCTTGTTTAGACGTAGAACTTTATCATGGCAACTTCTGCAACAAAACTTAGGAAGTTCGTCCCTCTCTGAGACTTCAATTTCACATACTCTAAGAATAATCCTTTTTAACTGTAACACCTTTCCACTATCGCTGAAAAAATTCTTCTCGTGGTCGTCTCACCTCACAACCGGCACTTACTTTTCAAAATATCGTCCGTCAAAGTTTGGGATCCTTCCATGTCTCACGACAGCTGGAGCGGCCACCCAAAAAACCGAAAAAAACCGCGAAAATTTGGAACCGTTAAAAGAGCCAATCATAGCGTTTGTTTTATCACGGCACAACTTTTAGCAGGAGCCAATGAAAAATGGCCTTGTATCCACCTTTACCAGATCTCACTTTTCAGTGTAAAACAGAGTGAGATCTGGGAACGAGATTACACGTTATCTTCACATGTGAAAATACTCACCGTTGATATGGCTACATAATAAATCGCACCTTTCACACCGAAAAACTGTTTAAGTAAAATGGTTTGGTATTTCATTGGTGTTTATATAATAAATAGAACATTACATGGTCGCTTGGAGATACGAAATTTCTCTTCACGTGTTGAAAAAAATATTTTACTTTGTTTTCAACACTCGAAGAGAAATTTCTTATCTCCGCGCGTCCATGTAATATCCTCTATAACTGTACTGAACATTAAGGTGATAGCAGAAACTCAAAAACATCGCTGGTAAACGAGGTCTTTTAAATAATTATTTAATATGTATTTTTTTCAAACTGTCGGTATCGTCGTTTTTTTACATTTTATTGTGCTACTCAATTAAAAGTGTTTGGTTATTACCTTTGTTACTGGTTGTATCTTCGTTCTTTATAAAAAAGAGCCGAAACTGTTTGATTTTAAAATCAAGGTTCAAAGCTACCTAGGCGTAGCATAAAATAAAAATAAAAGCCACTTACTATAAAACTCTTGATCACTAACTTCTATATTTCTTAAAAATAACAATGATGTTTGCAAGTGGGTAACAGAGCAACCTATACTGAACTTCCTTGGATTGTGTTCTCAGGACGATTACTCGTACCATAGTGGTCATGCTGGCGAACTAATAATGGAATGTTTTCGTTGGATGAAGTAGCTGTTCCCGCACTTGGACCATTATCATTGTTGTTGTTTCCAGCTTCCTTTGTAATTTGCGATCCTTCAGTTTCTGCACTCCCGCCACTATTACTATTAGTGTTATCATTTTGGTTTTTATTATATTCTTTTACAAAGGAAGCAACTTTTTTGACAAAATTTTCATCGTCTGCCTTCTTCATCTCAGGGTCTTTGTCGAATAACATTTCAAGAGCCTTAGGTATCAAACTTGCGAGAAAAGTTCCAAGAGCTTTTGTTTCGTCATTTAGTTTACTGTTCGGTGCGTCAGTAATAGAAATTAAAATTACCAGGGCTATACCTAGGTATACAATCATTTTCATCACTAATTCACCTCTGCTTTCTTGAAGTGGCATCAGTTTTTCGCGTGCCTTTAAATAGAGGTCCTTCGGTAAGAATCTCTTGTCGTCCTCCGCATTCTGAACCTGTTGGTTGTCACCAGTCCCTCTTGTTGCTATGTAACATTTATACAATGTATTTGCGAGCTTGCTGTACTTTCTGGGGTAAGGAATGTAACATCTCCATAGGTAAAATACAAAAAAAAGGGTCAAGATGGCAAATGGAAGAATGTTTGGCAAATCCATAAGAATTCCTCTCATAGTCGCCATCGAACAGATGACTGT